AAAAAAACCCATCTTTTCTCCCCACTACGCCACTTTAAAACCACTCAAATGCACCCACCATCCTCCTCCCCACTGAGCCAGACAGAGCAGAATCACAAGAAAACACCGCTCCACCAGACCAAACCACTACCTCTTTCAGCCAAAATACCAGCTTTGAGAGAGAGAGTGCAGGCAAAGGACAGACTTGGTTGGGGGAGAAGGGAAGGGGGCAGGGCAAAAGGGAAGGCTCAATCACTCTGTGGGAGGCAGAGAACGAGGGAACACAACATAGTACTGGTGTTGGCTTCAAGCCATGTTTGTGTCACTAACAGAAGTGGCCTTGTCTACCCTAACCCAGCCCCCCACCCCTGCCTCTACCCCTCTCCATGCACTCGCTCGCTCCCAGTTTGCCTGGAAACAGAGTCGAGGAGTGACTGGCTGGATGCTTGGTAACAGAAAGAGCTGCAATACAGAGAATAGGCAAGAATCAAACACAGCTCAGAGTGGGAGCAAAAATCAAAAAAAGGAGGGGGGGGAGGAACCACTCAATAGCAGACTGTGTTTTGGGAATGTTGATGAGGCAGGGAGCTTTTTCCCCCCCTTCGATTTGGTTCCTCAAAGTGAACCAACAAGCAGCACCGTGGATGTGTGGGCGATTTGTACTCAGCGTGCCCGCAGAGTGAGTGAGCGCGAGATGCTTTGAAGATTCAGTGTTTGCATTATTTCACATGCACAACAGAAAAAAGGAGGGAGTTTTTCAGATCCAGCAGAACCTGATAATGATACTGATACATCTTAAATTTAATCAGCTCAATGTGGTTTCTATCAAAGGTTGGGGAAACTGAGTGCCTAAGATTTCACTTGGATTGCACTGCAGGAAATGATCCAACTCTATTCCCAGCTGGCAGGTTTAGGAAAAAAAAAAAAAAGCTTTGTTATGAGGCATGATGTTTTTGAGCAGATATCTCTGTGCAACAAACTCGTCTGCCTACTGCCCAAACAGGAGAGAAAACAAATCAAGGCCACCTAAGAACAGGCTGCCAACTACTATTCTTCTTGGCAATATACTGCAGCGTGTGTGCTGCTAAAGCACAAATTGGTACCACCACCATTTCCTCAGGCAATCTGGGCATATCAAATTATATTTTAGGAGGCAAAAACTATATGGTAATGACAGTATTAGGGTTACTAAAAAATGGCTTAGCTAATGCTTAAAAAAACAATAATTTTGTGTCTTTAGGTACACTTTGTACAAAAACACTTAATTTTTTTATATCCTCCTGTGCCAAAATACAGAAATTAAGTATTTCACAAGGAAGAGATTTTCTAAGTATTTTCTTAAATCACTTCTCTTACCGTCTTCAGTTTCTTGCCACACGATGCCTTCAAGATTAACACTGGTACCAGGTTCGCACGGCCCCAAGCACTCAGGTTCTGTTGCCAGGGCTACATCTGACGTGTTCACTGCCACCGAACGTGTGCGCACCATTATCTGCTCACATGGTGAGGCAATTTCACTGTTGCTGACCGTGGCCAGGAGGTGGAGGGGGGGAGGAGCTGGCGTGGAGACGGGAGATTCCATCTGTGAAGGCAGAAGAAGGGGTTGAGAGAAAGGAAAAAAGAAACACATGAGACACTTCAGAATTTCTTTCTAATCCCATTGGACACCACAATAATGGACAGTGAACAAAGTGACAAATGCACGAGATGTTCTAGTATTTCAGTGGCCCTTCAAGGCGTTCCTTAACAGAGGATGGGGCGATGCATCTTTAAGTGCTGCAGTGTACACACTCAACCTTTCTCCTCAACCTTAGAGGTGATTAGCAGGCAGAGAAGGCAGAGGGGGAATGTGATGTGTCTTAACTGCCTCGGTGGAAGGACAAAATTAGAAATGCAGGGTGGTGCAAACAACCCCCCTCCCCCAGCTGTCCACCCTAGCACGCAGCGGAGCGAGATCCATGACACCAAATCATCTCACAGACTGATCGCTCATTAATTCCCTCAATTAGAAAGCTAGTTGTGGTAAGGGAGTAGGCCGCTGAGGGTCAGTAATTGATTTCACCTGTTCTGACACGCTGTGACAGCAATGAGGAGACAGTGGGCCTATGTGGGAAAGGAAAATGAAAAAGACAGCAAGTTACAATGAGAGCAACTGGAGGGAAAGCTCGAGAGAACTGAAGGCTGAAAAATGTGTAGGTGGAAAAGAGACAGAGAGAGGAACGACTGACAGTGATTTTAGGGCCGCTAAGACACCAGACTTAGTACTCTTTAGTGAAGGCAGCAACATTAAAGCTCTCCAAATCATTAACAATGAACTGCAGGAGGAATGCCATGCCGCAGCCAACAGCGCACATTTAATAATTGGGCATAAACCGCTCAGTACCCTGGACTGTGCTGCCAACGCTGGATCCAATTCTGCTTAGAAGACAAAACAACAACTGACAAAACTGGATTATAAGCCTCCATAGTCTTTAAATACTGGCCCAGTATTTTTACTGATCCAAACTGTGTATGATGTGGTCAACTAAACTCCAATATTGGAGCAAATGTAGGCGAGCTCCGAAGGTAAATGTATATATATATATCTCTTTGAACTAAGTGGTTTAGTAAAAAATGTACATTGATTGCAGTTATGAGCTAGATGTTTGGTTTTGTTTGTTCTGCTATTTATAGTCTTTTAGCATCGTCATCACTGGGCTTCTGAACAGATTACAGTAGAATTAAAATTAAATTTAATGAAAATAAAATATTAGGTTTCATCAGGGTTTAATTTGTAAACCGATCAATGCCAGAATGCAAATAGCCCCCCCCCCCCCCCC